GAGAAATACACTTCCACTAGCCTTGTTTGCATGCCTAATCTGGATCCAGCTCTATGAATGTATAACCACTTTATGGGACGGGTGGAGATGCTCACTGAAACCCATAATGATTTCCCCAGAAGGATCCTCCTAGCTGGTGCAGTCCATATTTCAACAGATAAAATTTATTCCGTGTCTAGAAGTATTGGAATAATACATTTAATAATAATAATATTAACCAAGAATAGCAGCTTGTCACTGTTGCAGGTAAAGCTTAACTGATGGGTTAGAAAATCAACGACACCTTTGTTTAGAAGGTTGTGAATATCTAACCTAGAATGTGACTGGACTCCTTGATTGCACAAGGGTTCCTACCTGCACAGAGCATACAAGAACACATCTTTATACATGTCACCTTCTACTGTACATTTGAAGTTCAGAAGCATGGTGCGTGGTATGATTTCTCTCCTTGACACATTAAGTCAACATATGAGAAAGAAGGCAAGAGTACAAAAAAAGGTTAGAAAATCTCACTGCTTCTTTTGTAGCTTGTGAATCTGGTCTCAGATAATGTGGTGCTATCATGTAGTAGGAGCTGGAAACTTCCTTGAAAACACTGAGAATGCCATCCTCCTATTTCCTGGTGAGCACAAGGCCTCCCTGAACCCACAGGTGATTGGTGGAGAAGGATACAGTTGACAAAGACTAAGATCTGATGCTCTTGCTGTCTAGTCTCCCTCATACTTCAAGTCAGTCTCTCAAGAGCACCCAAGTTGAGGTTTTGGTACAATGCCCATTTTTATTTATTCAATCAGTTAATTGAGCCACCCTTTAAAAGGCAGATGATTAATCTGCTGAAATGATTATCAAAATAGGTGAAGCTTGTTTACAAATACATAGCAGGTTCTCTATTGCATACCCCACACTAAGACAAAGTACGAGCCAACACACCGACATAGATGAGTAATACTATCTAGAGGCAATACTATCTATCTACCTGTCTCTCTGTCTGCCTGTATAACTGCTACCATGTATCATATTTTCAAAGTGAAACTGTCTATATCTTACTGTTCATACTATATTAGCTCAATCCATAAGCAAGGATTAGGAAGACACATAGTGCTGTTTTAAAATGCAAAGGGATACCAGGGGCAAAGGATCTATATTCAGAATGATCCCAACATAACAGAATGGAATCCTCATCCCACTCCTTTCTCAGTGGCAAGTTTGAATGGGCATGCAGAATGTCAGGTCGTTATAAAGTATTGGAGATCTGTGCATAGGGAAAGCTCATGAAATGGCTCTGCATACAGAAGGTCCTGGGGTCAGCCCCTGTACTCTCTAGGAGGTACTAGGAAGGAAAGAATCCTGCCTGAAAACCTGGAGAGCTGCTGCCAGTCAGTGTAGACTAGAGTAACTAATGGCTTGACTTGGTATAAGGCACCTTCCTGTGTATTTCCATACAGAACCCCGTTCTCTACTCAGTCAAGCATCATGAGCCACATAATCCCATTCTTTGACCAGGCAAGAGGCCAGCTGGATAGGGATGTGGGGGTTGGGGAAATGGGCACATTTGGGTGTGTGTCTCGTTTGCCATGGTAATGTTGTTGTTTTAACATTTCTACACCACCCATAGCCAAAGCAATCTAGGTGGTTCACAAAAGTTATAAAAACAATAAAGTACAATAGAAACAATACAAATATGTGCATGCATCATGAACAAAATAGCTATGTTGTATCCTATAGGGATTTTTCTTTGGGTGGACAATGTGCCCCTGATGGACAGAAATGATGGCCTTGAAAATATAGTTCAAGAGTAAAGATTCATTTGAGACAATTCTGCAAGAAACACTCTGCAGGGCATGGAGGCATTTTATGAATGAAAACACCAGGGCAGGCAAATCTTTAGCCACTACCATCTCTCAGTGGAACAATAGTAATTAACACCCACTTGTGCATTTAGGAAACAGCCCTGCTGTTCAAAGCAATATTGATTATTCTGGCAGTCTGCATGCTGCTTTTAGACCAGATGTTTGTATGAAAGAAAATGTGTAAAAATGAATGATGCACCACTGTGTGCAACAGAATGAGGTAATTCCCCACTCCCAACATTACAATTTAGTTACTACATTATGTATAAGTATTGTGGGATATTTCATAGACATTATAACCCTGAACAACTATGATCTGGAAATAAATTTAAGTGATGTTTACTTTCTCATATAGACCCCCATTCAGGAATACATGAACACATATTGTTGGCACAGTCAGGAATTAATACTGTGTGCAAAAGCCAAGATGCATAGTATTCACCTCACAGAACTCATTGCAGAAAGTAACTGCATTTTTTTTGCATGTCTCCAATACTAGAGCACAAATCTCTCCTTTATACTCTCTGCGCAGTAAGATGTTGTTGCATCAAAGTAATGAAATATTAACAATTTCAATAACTGAAATAACAAAAACAGGACAGGATTTCACTGCACTGGGGCTAGCATAAATACAATACTAAAGCTATAACTGAAGGCTGTCATAATCTGGACTAACTCTCGAAAGGGTTATCTCTACTGATCATTTTAACTGTGAACTATAGAACACACATACATATGTTCCACTAGGCTATTGCCCTTACCATTGATTAAAGAAGGGAGCTTCAGGGGAACTCTTCTAGTAAAGGTTGTAGTATAATGCTACATCTTTGTCCTACAGAGTGAACATTCTGCATCAACTTTAGTATCCAGATGGGCACAGCAAACTAGAATAACCCATTGGAGAGGTTTTACACTATAAGGGAGTGATGTTGGTTAGACAGCAGTCTGCTGCTGTTTGCTGCAATACATACATCCATACATACATAAATTATAAAGGATACATGTACTTCTCCAGGAAGACAGCAGACATGCACCAGATTTACTCAGAAGCCATGGTGGTCCACAGTTCTATGATGCATGTGCTCTGTATGACTGGGAATGCTGGCCTTCCTTTTGTACTTCATATGTTTATTTCAGCAAGAACCAGTGTAATAGTGAGATTTATTAAAAATAAGTTCTGAATAAATGATTTAAATAGGTAGAATTGAACAACACAGGCAACCTACCCATGTTCTAAATGGCCTCCAATATGACATGCAGCTTATTAATTTGCTACATTTATATTCTGCCTTTTGTCCAAGGAGACAAAGATTGCATTTATGATCCAGAGCTGTGAAGTAGGTTAGGCTGAGAGTCTGTAACTGGTCCAAAGTTACCCAATGTGTTTCACAATCAAGTGGAGACTGGAATATGGATCTCCTTAACACTAGCCCAGTGTTTGGAAAAGTTCTTATTGGTGGTAGAACTCCAATAAGGCACATACTAACTGGTGGATCAGGTGATCATGGAAATCCTTTCCATTCTTCTTTTAGAGGCATTTTATGTAGAAATGACATGAAGATCCACTTTCATGGGTGCATCTCTGGTTCAGCTTTTAAGCTGTGATGACTCAAAGTGGACTCAAAGAAACTTGACTTTTTCACTTGTGGCAATCAAAATAAATGAATGATGCAATTGACTGATCCCAGAAAATTGTCCCCATCTACACATATCGTATTGTGCTGCAGCTAAATGGTTCACAAGATAAAAGAGAAAAAAAGCATTGTTGACAATGGTCATGTACTGTGTTCACCAAGAAGAAAAATGCTAAGGATTATCAGAAGTTTATTGATGGAGAGGGATTCTCTGCTCAGACCTGAAATGCACAGGAGAATGAGATGTTCTAATGCAAGTACTGAAATACAATCTGTAGTTCACTCATGTACAGTGTAACCTTGAAGCTGATGAAGCCATTAAATGAAAGTTATATCAGCAATGAAAAAAAGATATAGAGCTTTAAACATAAGTGTAAATCCCCCAGTGTCAAAGGAACATTCACATTAAACATGGGACAGTAAAAAACATTTACCGAAGATAAAATGACAATTTGGAAAACCAATGTCATTGCTTACAATAAAATTAAACCCAATTGAAAGTATGAATATGCATATTTGGGGAGGTGCCAAGGATGTTGCTGTTGTGGATTAAGGCAGTGACTTGACTGATGCCAGCCAGTGAGCCTGTGTGAAAAGGAATTGAAAACTGGGTTTCCATCGTTCAGGTCCAGCAGTGTAGGCACTATATTGGCTATCAGGACTCCTTTTGTGATTGTGGCTATTGACAGAGAAGCTCCCCCAGCTAGATGTGCAATAGCTCATGCATTCAGTTGGTGCCACTTGGATAAAGGATATGTGGAAGCTGTATATTCATGCACATGCAGCCTCTACCTGCCTTTTATACAAATGCTTCTTGGTAAGTTGCAAGAAATCATTTGTTTATTATGGAAGCGAGGGCAAAAACAACTGGTGGTTGTTTCTTCATACTGTCTTAAGCTGCTGAGAACTATAACTCCTGAGGAACTGTGGTCTCAAAGAAAAAGAAGTTAAGGAAAAGCTACTATTTTTAGCACTGTTTCTTTAGGCTGACAGAGAAGGAATTGTCCTTACTCTTTCTGGGAATGCACTGATGGAGTTCTCAGTGTCTTCCATGACTATTTGCATTCTAATTAAATAAGGAATGATACCATAATGCTAAATCAGTGCAATGTCAGCACTGCCACAGGTTCACTTCAAGTACAAATTTATCAGAATGCTTCAGTATTATGCATGCAAGATACAGTAGTGATTGTACTAAGCATCCCATTCTAAAACTGTTGCAATTTTTGTCTTAAAAATTAATAAGATGTGAAATCACAATAAAAAAGGGAAAGACACATACTTGGAAATGTGCTCATTAATTTTTGTTTATACACACATAGTCTGCATTTTCATGTATTTGTTTTCCAGAGAATGAAGATACAAGTGATTTATTTCCTTGGATGGCTATCTAGAGACATGGACTGAATGTGAGAGCCCAATGCATGGACATGAAAAATGCCTGCTAATTATATTCTTGAATATAATTCAAGGGTTAGATGCATTTGAATGGATCAAGCAACAGACTTTTAGTTGAATGGGACCAGTGCATCTTCTAATCAAACCTCTGAAGATAAAGATTTGGAAAAGAAATTTTTGCAAAGATGACCCATTTACATGCTGGACTCAGTCCAGAGACTATAGAGAAAGCTCGTCTGGAACTAAATGAAAATCCAGATGTTTTGCACCAGAATATCCAACAAGTCAGGGACATGATCATCACAAGGCCTGACATTGGATTTTTACGTACAGATGATGCCTTCATCTTGAGATTTCTCCGAGCCAGAAAGTTTCACCAAACAGATGCCTTCAGATTACTGGCTCAGTACTTCCAGTACCGTCAACTGAACCTGGATATGTTCAAAAATTTCAAGGCTGATGATCCAGGTATCAAACGAGCCCTAATTGATGGCTTCCCAGGAGTGCTGGAAAACCGTGATCACTATGGCAGGAAGATACTTCTGCTCTTTGCAGCCAACTGGGATCAGAGTAGGTAAATGTAGATAGTGTACTACTCTTTTTTATACGCAATCCATTAACTTGTCATTAATGGCTATGCTGTGAAATATACAGTTATTTTGAATTTTGAATTAGATTCAAAAATATTTTGAATCATATTCAAAAATCAGATTCAATCTTGCAGAACAAGATTGTTTCTGCAAAGTATTTAACTAATCTGATAGTCAAGGTTGTGCATGAACATTTTATTCCATTCTTGCTTCCAATGTGCAGTTCTTATTCTCCTATATAAATACTGTGGGTTCTAATTTTAGAAATGTGATCAGTGCATTTGTAGCTATTTAAAAACATTGATTAGTCCCATATATTTCAATGATAATCTCTATCATTTAACTCTAAAATAGCCAGTAAAATGGACTTACAGGACTTGCAAATAAGTAATGGCCATTATCTTTCAGTTTCCTGCATGGTTATTCTGGAGGCCATTGCAAGGTACAATTATTGGCACAAAAAGTTTGCAAAGCCCCATGCTCCAGCATTTATCCCTGTGTTTCACTTTTAAGCACAGAACTGCCAAGCCTCTTGTCTGCGGTATGAGCACTGAAGTTATTTGTGCCAGATTAAGCCCATTAGTTCAGAGCAATTACACTTTGCTTAGAACAATTACATTTTTCAGCCCATGGTATTAATAACATTCTTCTGGGTAAGAGAAAAAAGAGAACTTTTAACAGAATAACACACTAATGCAATGATATGTGAAAGAAAGAAGGGATGCAAGTAGATATTTTGGCAAATGTGGGCTTATATATTTGATTCAACATGTTATATAGTTTAGCACTCTCCCTATCCTGTTGTCTCAATCATCCAGTTACAATTAAAAAGTTCAATACAAAACAAGATATAGAATCATAGAATAGTATAATTGGAAGAGGCCAGAGAACCATCACATCCAACCCCCTGCTCAGTGCAGGACTCCTAGTTAAACCATTCTTCTCACTTGGCTGTCCAGTTGCATCGTGAATGCCTCCAGTGTGGGAGAGACCACAACCTCCCTCGGTCATTGGTTCTATTGTACAGCTCTAACAGTCAGGCGGTTCTTCTTGTTGTTGAGCCAGGACCTGGCTTCCTGTAACTTGAGCCTGTTTTTCCATGTCCTGCTCTCTGGGATAACAAGAATAGATCCTGTCCTTCTTTGTGACAATCATTCAAGTTCTTGAAGAATGCTATCATATCTCCCCTCAGTCTTCTCTTCTTGAGGGTAAGCATGCCCAGTTGTTTTAATCACTTCTCATAGGGCTTTGTTTCCATATAGACAATGCTCCACTCAAGCAACTGAACAGTCTTCAAGGGCAGTCCCACATAGAATGATTTGCAGTATTCTGAGAGAGCACCAGATAGGGATGCAGTGGGCCATCAGCTGAAGCTGGTAGGAGTTCTGTGCCAAGCAAAGCACCTAAGTCTCTAGTGAGAAAGATGGACCTAAGTGAACTCCCAAAGCACAATCCTGCTTCTTCAGGGGGAGTGCAACCCCATCCAGGACAGATCAAACACCCTTTATATGGTCGGAAAAATTACTCACTAGTAACACCTGAGTTTTCAGTTTGTTAACCCTCATTCAGCCCCTCACCTGATGAAGATGAAAAGGAGTAGAACTGCATGTCATTAGCATACTGATGGCAACACACTCAAAAACTCCAGATGACCCTGCTCATTTTACATACATGTTTAATAGTATAAGAAACAAAACCTACCCATGAGGAACTCTGTGTGGAAAATCCACAGGACTGAACAATATTCCCCAAGCACCACTTTCTGGAGCCAGTCAGCAGCCAAGCAGTATCAGAACCTTTACAATGCATTAGTGTTCTCTCCTCACACCCCACAAATACACACAGGTCAAACTTTTGACCTAGGAAAAAATCATGGTTGATGAAAGCTGCTGAGAAATCCAGGAATATCAACAGGATCAGACTCCGACAAAAGTCATCGTACACATTGACTCTCTTCCGACAAAAGTCATCGTACACATTTACCAAAGCTGTTTCCATGCCAAGATCTGACATGAACACAGACTGAAATAGATTCAAATAATTAGTCTCATCTAGAAATGTCTGGAGCTGGTTGTCTATTTGCCACCAGCCTGATGTTATTGAGATCTTTCAGGTAATTCAGGATTGTTCTTACCACTACTTCTCTTAGCCAGTCTGGGACCACTCCTTGATGTCTAAGTCCCAGCAGATACATGAGGTTTTGCACACAGTAATGATTTTTCCTCATTTCTGCTCAAGAAATTTTATTTATTTTTCAATTTATATCCTGTCTTTTTCCTACAAAGGGCTCAAGGCAGCTTACATCATCTCTCCTCCTCTCATCTCATCCCCACAACAACAACCCTGTGAGGTAGGTTGGGCTGAGAGTCTGTGACTGGCCCAAAGTCACCCAGTTGGCTCCATGGCTGAGCGGGGACTAGAACCCAGATCGTCTGAGTCCCAGTCCCATGCTCTTAACCACTACACCACGCTGGCTCTCCTGTTTTGTCCCATTCCTCTCAGCTGCAAGGTATACCATGGAGCCATATGAGCTCCATTAATGACAGAGTGCTCAGGAATACTACCTGTGTAATACCACACAACTACCTGGTCAACTACCAGTTGTGTGTCAACTACCTGGTCAGTTGTGTCAACTACCTGGATCATCTCTCTGCCTAGGTCTCCACAGTTCAGTCAGGACTTTGACAGGAATGCCAGCGGTATCAGCCAGATCCCTCCCTAGAGCTCCCTGGATCCATTAGCCTACAGGGCAGTCTATTTGCAACAGGGAAAAGAGTAAAAAAGCTGAGTAAACATTAGTAAGGTAAAGGTAACGGTTTCCCCAGTCATTAAAGTCTAGTCTTGGGGGCGGTGCTCATCTCCGTTTCCTAGCCAAGGGAGCCCGCATTTGTCTGCAGGCAGTTTCCGTGGTCATGTGGCCAGCATGACTAAACACCGAGGTGCACGGAATACTGTTACCTTCCCACTGAAGTGGTACCTACTTCTCTACTTGCATTTATATGCTTTCAAACTGCAAGGATGGCAGGAGCTGGGACAAAGCATGGGAGCTACCCTGTCGGGTGGATTCAAACTGTCGACCTTTCGATCAACCATCCCAGCAGTTCAGCAGTTTAAATCACTGCACCCCCCGCAGTTGTTTCAGTACAGCATAGGAAAAATGAAGAAAAAACAGTGGTTCTAACAGACCAAGAATAAGCAACTTCTGGGCATCAAAGGAGGGCACATTACTACTCCTGAATCCTCTGGGGGCTGCATTTCATTACCTCCACCAAAACTGCCACATTGTTTTCAAGCAATATTATGCTTTTTGGAGGTTTCTGAGAGCACAGCCCTGCTTGGAAACCAAGTACGCAGCCTGCATGCCTTGATTCCCTGCGAAATCACTTTTGTTGCCACACTAGTAAATTTAGTGACAGGGAACATAGCAGGGGACTCAAAAATGGCTGAGTTATTCTCTCTTACTCATGGGCTACATGTCACCCACCCCTGCAATGCTGTATTTCTCTGTTCCTACCTCTTATTGACTAAAATACAAGTTTTAAAGAAACAGAAGTACTATAAAATTGTAGTCTATGATGGCAAGATCACAACTTCCACTAACTTCACAATTTTGGAAATTCTATGTTTTAGAATAAAAAAAAGTGATTTTACACAATGAAGTCTATATATGAATGACCTATTGTAATATAACTATAACACAGTTTGAAAATAGAATGTTGTTGAAAACCCCCCAACTTTTATGATATTAAGGTCTAATTCAATCTGCCTAGTCCTACACATCTACAGAAATCCATGAGAACATTTTTGGAGGAAAGATAGTATTAAGAACTGCAATGGTATGATTGCAAGAACAATCCATACAGGCCTTTGAGAGCACCATTCACTTTGTAAATGTCCATGTAACCATGTGCAATCAACAAAGTGTATCTGACATTGCAAGAGATTGTGAACAACATATGAGCCCTGTCCAATGGTCATTCTAGCACACCAGCTTTGCCACAGCAGTCAACACGATGCTTTCTGAAAGTCCTCAAGGCAGGCAATTGCTGCTCTCAAGCAACTGGCATTTAATGGCATATGAGCTGTGTGTGAACATAAAGGTTCTACAGCTCTTAGATTAGACAGTGTAGTTCAGTGACTTCAGCAGAAATATATTGCAGGCTAATAGTCCTGTCTGTGAGAATTGGGTCACTGAATGCTAATGGTAGAATTAGGCTTCTTGGCAATTGACAGGTGTGGTGCTGGGCTCTGTTTACACATCTCAGTCAACTAATAGTTGCTGGACTTAATCTAACATTTGTCCTTGTGAGTAGGACATTAACAGTTGCATCCTTAAGGTATTATGTTCTACTGAAATCTCTGCTGGTTGCTCTTGTATGTTTTGTTGCAGGCCAATTGGGATTAGGAGAGCATGTGTCCAGACCCTGTTTCCCACTGGAAGCATAATCTCCCAGAGTTATGAAGTGGGCCTCCTAAAGGGCATGTTTGCATTTGCCACGCTGGTATGCATTTAAATTGGTGGGCTTGCATGTCACAATCACCCATCATGATAATCTACCATGATGGGTTGGTGTGAATTGCCAAGCAGCCACGATAGCCCAATCGATAGGGCGCATTGTGGTTGCTTTCTCCCTCCCTGTTACCATCTTTGCTCTTATTCCTCCAAGTGGTATCCCAGGGACATTTCAGGGAGGAACAAAGAATGAGGTTTTGACAGTTGAGTGGGCTGAGTTTGGCTCATTGCAGCTGTCAAGCAGCCTCTGGAGAAGAGATCAGCTGCAGCAGCAGTCAAACAGATCTCTGGAGTAGGAGGTGAGGGTGCTGCATCCACTCTCAAGCATGGTAGGGGGAGGGGTGCAATCAGCTGGACTGCACTGCAGAAAAGGGCAGTGCTAGCTGATTCCCCCACTGCTGCTTGAGTGGCTTTCTCTCAAGCAAGAGGAGCTGGTTCTGATGAGGATGCTCCTTTTTGGGTGTTTCCTCA